ACTCTTTACAGGAGTAGAAAGCCTCTCTCTCACAAATGCTGTCAATACTGCCTCTTAAATATTCCTTAAACCCATCCCTTCTGCTGCATGCTAATAGTTATTACCTTGTTTTGGGGTTTTGCCAATTCCCTGGCCTCTAGAACAGCCCCTCTCTGATCAACTTTTCCAAATAGCTTCCAGGGATACCTTTAACACAGCGGTCCTCCACCTTTCTAATGCCACGACCCTTTCATACAGTTCCTCCTGTGGTGGTGACCCTCAACCATAAAATTATTTTTGTTGCTACTTCATCACTGTCATTTTGCTACTGTGATGAATCATCATGTCAATATCTGATAGGATGTATTTTCATTGTCACAAATTGAACATCATTAAACATAATCAAAACATAATGGTTAATCACAAAACAATGTCATTACATATTGTGAAAAATTTAAATGTTTTCCAATGGTCCTAGGTGACCCCCGTGAGAGGGTCATTTGACTCCCAAAGGGGTTGATACCCACAGGCTGAGAACCGCTGCTTTATAAGATGCAAATTGGGTCAGAACTATGCAGTAGAGAGGGCCAGGCTTCTTTACCTCACTCGTAGACTTGATCTCATCCCCTAGCAGAATGTCTTCCTCCTCCTCTCTACTACCTCTTCCTATCAGCTGGGAAAATGCAGGCCATTTCCTCAGGCTTCTGTGAAACCCTCCCTGACCAGACAGCAGTTCTTTGTGCCCAACTGCAATGCTGGCTCCATCCGCACTGCAGCCTTTGTTCTGTCTATTCCTGGATTTTTGCCACCTGCACTGGGCCAGGGGCTCTCTGTAAAGCCAAGGCACTTAGTTTGTTTGGCAGAGGGAAGGAATGGGCAGATCCCACAGGATGCCAACTCATTCCCAAAGTGTAGCCTCTGAAGGGCCTGTTCCTACCACCTTGGAATCATCACCAGGGCCCAGCGTCAGCCAATTGGAATGCAAGCATGGAAAGTGAGCGTCCCCAGCTGCCTTCATTGAACTAATTGCTTCATCATCCATCTTCCTGGAGGGGAGTTGGATCCTATGAGAGTTGGATCGAATTTCATGAGCCATTTTATCTCTGGTGCCTATCAGGTATGCAATGAATAAAAGCATGGTGACACCCCCCCCCCCATCAGCATTTCGCTTTGGTTCAAATCCCACTTAGCAGATGGGCAACCTTGAGCAAGTTGCTAAATTCTGCATACCTGTTTCCTTGCCTGCAATATGGGGATACTAATCAGGTTGTTATGAAGACTTGGCTTTTTTAAAAATTAAATCATTTTATTGGGGGCTTGTACAACTCTTATCACAATCCATACATTCATCCATTGTGTCAAGCACTTTTGTACATTTGTTTCCCTCATCATTCTCAAAACATTTGCTTTCTATTTGAGCCCCTGGTATTCCCTCCTCATTTTTCCCCTCCCTCTCTCTGCTCCATCCTCCCCCAGGCTTATTATTTTTAAATCGTGTAAAAACAATGTCTGGCACAAATGCTTCAGACTTGCTGACTAAAAGAGTGGGTCCTACACGGCATTTCCAATCTCAACCCCCTACTCCTCCAACACTGCTTTCTTCCAACAACTCATATCCAATGCTCCTTCTGGATTAAACTCCCCACTATTCCCACCTATGCCAGAAATACTCATGTCTCAGCACCTTTGCACATGTCATTACCTGAATGGAAGACCTTTCCCACCGTGTCTGACAGTAAACCACTACTTATTCTATTCATTCCTCCCCATTGTGTTCAACAGTCATTTCTAAAAGCCTTTCTGAACTCTTGGAGCCAGGTAGTCCCTCTATCCTCTAGGCTGTGTTGAGTCTCATTTTCACTCATGTCTGAGTTCCCGATTGCCCTATGACTCGTTGAGAGCAGGGTTCTATCTTAGGCACCTCAGCATGCCCTCACCTAGCACAGTGCCTGGCTCATAGCCGGTATAAAACTATCTGTTGAATCAAGGAATGAACGAATGAAATAGATCAACACTTGCCACCTAACCACCTCCGTAATACAGTCTAATGCCAGATTTCATGACCAGAATTGGCTACAGTTGCCTGGGAGATAAACCAATCCAGTTCAGTAGTTAGAAGATTATAGATTTGACAATAAAACCCACTTCTCAAAAAAGAAAAATAAATCCACTTCTCATCACTAGAAAGTCTACAGACTTCTAGCTTCTTCATTATCATATTAAAGCTGGGGGGAAAAAACCTCCCCAAGGACATTCTGAAGACTCAATGTTTACAGAGTAGCCCTGTGGCCACATTCTTAGCCAGACACCTGAATTGTTTCAGATTAAGTCCCCACCGCCAGCTCTTTGACAGAAGAGGACACTGGAGCTAGAAAAGGAACACGGGGGCATTACGAAGCAAGGGCATCTCTCAACGGAACTAGAGTCCCAGACTTTGCCTCTAGTGGGCTGTGTGACCCATTATGTCCCTGCCACTTTGTGGGCGGGGGCGGAAATCCCTGTAAAATCAGGGAAATGGATCAATAGTCACTAGACTCATTGCCATCAAGTTGATTCCAACTCATAACAACCTTAGAGAGGGTTTCTGAGACTGTCAATCTTTTGAGGAACAGAGAGCCTTGTCTTTCTCCCGTGGAGAGGCTCATGGTAATGGTTATATACTGCCAACCTTGTGGTTGGCAGCCCAGCACTTACCTGACAGCACTACCAGAGCTCCTTAATGGTCCCTGTAGGTTCTCTAAGGGGAAAAAAAAAAACAAAAAACAACCTGGGACAGTTTTTGAATCGGAGATGGTGTGGGAACTGGCAAAGGGGACTCCTGGGAAAGGAACGCCATCAAGTGTCAGCAGGTCATGCAGGCCATGGATCAAATCACTTTCCTCCCTGTTGCTGCTTCACCTCTCACCTCACCACTTTGAAGGGTGAAGACGTGCAGGCCCTGGGAGGCTTGGGAGCTCGCTCTTTCAGTTCACCCAGGCCTCAATTTATGAAGAGGCCCACGACTGGCCAGGGTCCCGCAGGAGCGTCTCAGTCTCCCAGCTCCTTGGCCAGCTCGCTCTTCCCTGAGAGCTCATCCTTCCCACGTCCCCCTGAACCTCTCCAACCCAGGGACCCAGACCTGACCTTGGGGCCAATCCAGGGCACACTAGGTGTCAAGATCAGTGGCCAGAAAGGAACCACTAAGCCAGCTGACACCATCTGTCCTCTTGCTGAGGCAAAGGAAAGATCTCTTCCAGAGTCCAGTGTCTGGTAAGGTGGACCTTCAGGGGCATTGTGACTGTCACACCGTTCCCTTTTTTCTTTCACCTCTAGTCTTAATGTCACTCTGCCCCTCCAAAAAACAAAAACAGATCAGAACGTCCTTGACACACCCGTATACACGTGCACATATATATACACATGCATATGCACATGCAGAAATATATACCCATTCACATGGACATGCAAGCACACCCCTACACACACACACAGTCACACAAGGGTCTGGCTAACCCAGGCTGTCAGCAATGCTCAAACCCAACCCGCTGGGGAGCAAGTCCAGAAGACCCGAGGGACCTCCCAGTAGCAAACCCACTCGCTTGATAAATGTCCCCAAAGCCCAACAGCGGGCTGTAGAGAGAGCCAGAGGGAGCTGAGACTGGGTTAGGTGTGCGCCTGTGTGTGCGTGGGTATGTGCGTGCGTGCACACCTGTGCGTGTGTAAGGCCCAGGCACCAGAGAACTGGAGAGAGAAAAAAGGGGTGGGGTGGGGGCGGGCATCAGAAAGGCAAGGGTAGAAAGACACTGGGGGAGGATGAAGACACGCCCCCTCCGGTACCTCTCCGCTTCCTTCTTCCCTCTCTTCCCTCTCTGGAGATTTCTCCCGGACCTGGGCTTTGCAGATCCCCGCGCGGCGCTCAGGAGCCCGAACCCACGGCTCTCCAGGACAATGGCGCCCTCTCCCCCAACCCTACTTAAACAAGGAAAGGGGCGGGGGCTCCCCCAATCACCCTGCGCAGTGCTGCTTCCCAAATAGGCGGGGTCTCCATCCTTTGCTACGGAGAGCGCCTACCTCTAAGGACCGTCCTACTCCCGGGAAGCCGCCCCCCACCCGCACCCTCACTGCAGCCCAGCCCAGCCCTCCCTTCCCGCCCCCAGAGATGAAGGCATCGGCTCCTTTAAAGCCGCGGCACCCGGCAGGGTTATTGTCTCGCCTCGCAGCCAATCGGAGGTGCCGTGGGGGGCGGGGGATCCGGCCCTCGGA